GGATGAAGTACAAAGAGGATGGGTAACCTGTTCAACTCCTCGAAGTCAGGGCTCACCCAAGGCCCACCAAGTTCGGTGCAGAGCTGAGACCCAAATTTCTCCTCTTTCTACTACGCACAAAACAAAACGCGCACGCAGACACACCCATACACACTTTCTAGCTTCATTTTAACTTCTAAAAACATCAAGAGGATTGGGTGTGAGAGGGGAAAAAAAAGGGAAGCTCTTAAGAGTACAGACGGTCAAAGTTGAAGAGGTAAGTCAAAGCCATTCCTGGGACCCAACTCAACTTTCAAACGGAGGAAACTGAAGCCCCAGAGGCGGTGCAGGTACGATGCCAAGTCTCTAGACTCCGAAGGCTGTCCTAAGCCCTGAGACTACAGACGAGCCGCCCTTAAAGCAGCTGAGGAAAGAGAAGGGAATCCTCTGCACCTGTGCAAGCCCCGCCCTCGGAGGGATGGCCGCGGACCTGGAGGCGCCACGAGACCCGGCCAGGCCCGTTCCGCCCCCAGGGCACAGGGCGCGAGGGTTCTCTGAGGGGCCTCACCGTCCTTCCCGGCGGCTCCGAAGGGACGAGACCCCGAGCCGCAGCCCGGCCGCACCACTGCCAGTTGTTCACGTTGGCCCCGTCCTCCCGCTCCTCCACCCAGCGCAGGTCCCCTTGGCCCCACTCGGCCATCTGCGCTTGCGGCACGGCCTCACGGAGAGCTGGGGACGAGGGCGGCAGAGGGTGCGGCGCGGCTCCGTCGCCGACGTTTCCGTTCTCCGAGCCCAGAATTAGACCGTTCGCAGCGCCCAGAAAGTGCCAGAAACCTCCGCCCACAGCTCCGCGCAGAGCGCCCCCGGCGGAGCGCCCAAGGCCTGCGGCACGGGGCGGCCGGTGCTCAAGGGCAGGGGTGACCGGAAGGCGACGGCGAGCGTTGCGCCCGCGAGGCCAGGAAGGGGAGCCCGGGAGAGGTCCGGCCCGAGTGGGAGGGTGCGGGGAAAGAGGGGGCATGTCGAGGGGCGGGGTTCAGAGGCGCGATGAGAGAGAAAAGTTCCGAACCGCGGGGCGAGTAGGGGTATCCGGCAGGCCGGGGGCGGGGTCCCGAAGGCAGGGTCGCGGCGTTGGGAAGGCCCTGGGCCCCGCGGGCGGATCCGCAGTGTAGAAATGCCTGGAAGGGGAAACCTCGGTCTCCATCCGAAAGACCGAGACACCTCCTCTTAAGGATCCATTCTCACTGCGGTAATTAGTTTCAGTGGCAGCAAGCGGACGGTCAGGCGCGCCTGAGGGCTGTATTGGCCATGCTGACCGGAAGAGCCTATCCAGACTGTCGTTGGCCGCGCTAACTGTTCGGTCCTGGAGGGGATACGACTCAAGCGCTCGATCACTCTCTTTGCTCTACGATCGACTTATGAGGGAGCGCGCCTGCGCGCGTTATTTTCGCTGTGCGCGCGCACTTGACACCATATCCATATTTATTCTGAAAGTCCGTTCGGAGTTGGAGCACTATGGTTCTCTCCTAGACCTCGAGTCTCACGCCTTTCCAACACCTGTCCAAGTAGCACGAGCTACCAAGTTCCCACTTACTTCAGGAATGTTTACATTGTATTCCTGTAATGATCCTTTATAGATGACAAAAGAACGTGATTGCAAGTGCATATTATGACAGCTTGGTGCAATTTTATAATTAAGTGGTTATTAATGACTTTTAACGAATCTCCACCTTCCAGCAAAAACTTTGTACCAACTATTGGGAAGGTGTTACTGAGGGGTCTGTGAATACTTATTTAGCAAAGAAAACAGGTATGACAATGGAAGGGTGGAAGTACCTGACTGTTACATTACCGGGTGTTGACCGTTCTTTTGCCTGTGGTCTGCTCATCAGTGAGATTAACTGGTGGAGAACATTTTCTTCTTTACTTACTGGAGCTACTACATTCAATCATTTTCCGAAAAGCTACGACAGATATGAACACAGACTGCATTAAAGTGTTTTGGCCCCAAAACAAATTGTTGGGGAAGAGGACGTTTTGATTTTACCTTTTACACTTCACCAAAGGTGTGGACAGCTAACACATGGAATCAAATAGAAAAGAATTTTAATGGCAATACTAGTAGGCACCGTTTTCTTGTGGATTACCTGTGCATCTTTCATCCACTTCATAAAGATTATTAATGATAGAATATTACATGTTAAGATTTAGGTATGTAGAATTGGAACCTGGGGGAAAACCAGGAAATTTACAAGGGCAGAAACTATAATCACTAAAATTTTATGTGGACAAAAAATTTTTGTAATATTTATTCAAAAAGAATTTATCCCAATGAAAATTATTTTATTAAAATATAAATGGAAAAGGTATTCTATGAAGATTTTTTCTTTTTTTATTATAGTGACATTGGTTAAAGAAATCCAGTAAGTTTCAGGTGTATAATTCAACAGTGTCTTTTTGTTACTGTCTTACTTCATTTAATGTTTATATGGTAAGTTCATATTAATAGCATAATGTGAACCTCAAGGTTCATCCATACTATGGCATATGTCAGAACTTCCTAAGAATGAATAATATTTTATTTTATATATATATATATATATACCACCCTTTTGCTTATTTATCCAATTGTTGATGGATACTTGGGGTTGCTTCCACATTCCAGCTATTGTGAATAATGCTGCTATTATCATGGGTTTATACATGTCTCTGAGAAACTTTATGAAGCAAATTCTTTTAGGCAGTTTAATTCTTGATCAATTATCTGCATAGAGGGAGGAGGTAGATGGGGTAAAAGGGGTCAAATATGTGGTGACAGAAAGAAATCTAACTATGGGCAGTGAACACACAATGCAAAATATATATATATATTATATATATTAAGGTGTGTATATGTATAAATATATATATTAAAGTGTGTATGTGTGTGTGTGTGTGTGTGTATATATATATATATAGCATGAAATGAGGCTCAGGGGTACACATTCCCTTATAAAGCAGCTTATATAGTGAGAAAGCAACTTCTTCACATTAATTGGTTATTAAGCTCCTAAATGAATGACTAAAGTGGTTTTATCATAGCTCAGGGAAACATCAAAGCTGGTCTCCATTTACTTCTGATTTTAACAGGTGGGTAAACATTACATTACAACATTTATTGTGTCTAAGTCTGCTCTATGCTGGAGTGACTACAAAAATGAATAAGATACAGGGCTCGGGTGCTGGTGGAAGAGACCAGTGTGAATGCATCATAATAGTAAATACAGAGTGCCTTAGGAGCACACAGGAGAAAGTTTCTAATTCTGCTTAGGGGAATGCAGTGCTACTGTAGTTCTTTTCTCAGAGGAGGCTTGAAGAGTGAATAGAACTCTTGGCTTTAATAAAGGAAAGGGAACACCAGGCAGAGGGAGCAGCAGGTGCCCAGGCACAGAAGCATGAGGAGTGCATTGCACCAAGATGGCTATAATGGAGTGATGTAAGGGGGTCAGGGGGCACATTGCCCCACCATGAAAAGCCTTGTTTGCCTGCAGAGGAGTATGAACTTTGTTTTGTAGGCAATGAGAAACCACTGAGGTGATCTACATAGAGAAATGACAGGATCAGACTTGTGTTTAAGAAAAATCATTCTTATGAAAATTAATGGACAGAAGTGGACTAAAAACTGGAAGAAGGGAGATTTTTCAAGAATGAAAGGAGGCAACAAATGTGAGAGGAATTTGTAAGTAGAATTGGTGAATGGGTCAGATACTGGAGTGGGTGTAGTAGAGGAATTGTTTTTCAGTGACTAGGACTTTCAGGTTGGTTAGTCAACATCACCCCAAGAAATTAGAATGAAAAGAGGCTGGAGATCAGCATTTAAGGGATAGGCAGAAAAGATGGAGCCTGAAAAGGAGTAACTGAGGAAAGAGGAAGAAAATCAAAAAGGCATTTCATCATGGAAAAGTGCAAGTAAAATAATAAATCGTTCTTTGGATTTGACAACAGGAAGGGCGTTGGGTCCTTTGCAGAAAGCAGTTTTAGTGAACGATGGGGGCAGAAGCCAGGTCACAGCCGAATATGCTGATGGAAACCAGCTGGTGAAAAGAGAGACAGGTGGTGAAGCAAAGCCCCAGAAGCAATGGGAGGAGATGAGGCCAAAGGAAGGTGGGGATCCAATGCTTGGATCCAAGTCATGGCTCTGCCACTTAATAGTTGAGTGACCTTAGACAAAGTCCCTAACCTCTTTGGACTTCATCATCTGTAAAATGGGGATAGTGTTACCACCTGTCTGTATTATGATTAAATTCAACTGCTAGTAACAAATTAGCAATAACAAAAGGCTATATCAGGTAGCCTTTTATTTTTCTCTCAGGTAAATACAGGCAGTCCATGGTAAATATATAAGACAGACAATCATTAGGGATCTGGGCTTATATCAACAATCCTCGAACCTACATCAGGGTCCTACGTCAGGGTCCAGGATGACTGCTACAGTTCCAGCAGTGAACTTCCAACCAGGATGAAGAAGAAGGGGCAAGAGAAGAGTATATCCTCAAACTTTAAGACATCCCAATGCTTCCACTTAGACACTATTTCTTTCCCAGCAAGAAAGGCTGGGAACTGTATGTAGTCCTTATTCTAGTAGGCCATGTGCCCAGTCTGTACATCTGGGAATTCTGTTACCGAGAAAGAAGAGAAGAATAGATATTATGGGACAACTAGAAGTGTCTGCTACCCATCCAACTTCTTAGCAAGAAGTTAAAGGAATTAATACAATTAAAGCTCTTAGAATGGTTTCAGTCATGTAGGAAGCAATCGATAAATATATTTTTTTGTTTTGTTGTTTTATCCTCACTCTGAAGGAAGAGGGAAGGATAAAAGGAGGATGTGCTTCTCTCCTTTGAAGGGCATGAATCGAAAGTTGCAGACATCACTTCAATGGCTGGAACTTAGTCACATGTGCCCTGATAAAATATAGGGGAGGGGTTGTTGCTAAAGGAAGAAGGGTGGAATGGATATTTGGAGAATTACCCACTCGCACTGGCTCACTGCCACTTCCTGAACCTGCTCCTCCTCCCACTTCCCTGCTTGCTTCCCTCTCTAGGCCTGTGGGCATCACCATCTATAGTCATCCAAGGGCAGATGCTACTCATCTGTGACTCCACCCCAACTTCATCTACAGAGCCCCAAATCGCACAGCTTAAGGAGGCACCATCCATACTGTAGTCTACTCTTCACAACCAATCAATCCCTGGGGGCTGATTGGACAGCGTGCCAAGTCTATCTCCTATGTTTTTCTTGAATCATTATCTTTCATTCTACCCCAAGCTGCTTTGCTCTAGGTCTCCACCTTTTATTGCTGGATGTGACAGTGGACTTCCTAATGGCCTCCCTGCCCGAGCTAGTCTCTTTCC